TCAACACAAATTTCCAGCTGTTACGAGGTCTGTTTGAAATAACTTTCACCTGACCCCTTCTGTGAATGCTTAGAGTGACATATTTTGGCAACAAGCCATTATAGTTGATGACACGGCGGCATTTTTAAAAAGTCCCCGCTACTGAGATTGCTCTACTCTTACAGAAGATGGCAGTGAAATATCCCATGGACATTTCTTGATCTATGCTGAGCTTCTTGGGATATTCTACCTGCAAGGTACAGCATATTCAACTAGACCAAGGTGGCAAAGTCAAACTGTGGCTTTGGCACATAGCTCTACCAATTTTTGCTGAGGCAGCTAAAAAGGTTTTGGCTTCCAGCTGTTCCTCCTCTTTCTCTGCCAGAGGCTACAAGGCTGTAACGGCAGCGGTAGAAATGAACAAATGCCAGCTCCTGGCACAGCAGTTGATGGTCTGCCCTTCCTGGCCAGAGCTATTTAATAGATAGTCACAGCCTATCTGTCAGAAGTCCTAGTTTCATGGGAAGGAAATGATTATGCCACAGGCACAGATCTGCCATAGGGAACAGAGTATTTCCAAAGTTTGATGGAATAGAGCTAGTGGGGTTAGATCTTAAAAATGGGGATTGATGGTTGCTCCTTTATTGTTTCTTGTTTACACTTGCCATTTCTTTCAGCTTTCTCATTCAAGAATGTTCTTATTTACCAGCATTCAAAGTAGAGTTTTGGAGAAAATTTTCTGGCGCCTGGATTGTTTGCACACTGGCAAAAATGCATTGTTTCTTCTACTCGGACGGACGGGTGGAATTCTGAAGAGAGATTTCACAGCCTGCAGTCGGAAACCAAGCGCTCCAGTGCAAGGCCTCCAGGAGCTCAACTTACTCAGCTTGTCAGACGAAAGGCTGAAAGGTGCCTTGATCACTGCGATTGGTACTTACACCCTGGAAAGATGTCTGATAGCAAGATGTCAGCCTTCCTGACAGTGGTATAATGAGATCTAGTGTTGAGAAATGGGAGTTAGAGAAATTCAGTTCTGAAATAAGATACAAGTTCCTACTTTAGAAGGTAATTAAGCATTATGTCAACAGCAAACTCATCATTTTTTGGACATTTTAAAATGAAGCTAGATATCTTTTTCAGAAAAGATGCATTCCATGTCATATTTATGAGAAATCCTAAAGACAGGATAGTTACACTGGCTGATTATGGGAGTCTCACCTGCCCTGGAACCCATGATTCCTTAAGTCTCCTATTTTGAATTTCCCTCATTACCTCATATATTTGCTGCACTACCTTGCAAACACTGCTATAATTCAAATATTATATTACATATGTTTAGTTGCAAAGAACACAAAGAAATTTCTTTCCTTTCCTGCATACAAGCTAGACAAAGTCCGGGGTTATTTTAATTCATTTTACCTTCCATATGCCTGAGCCTGTGATTTAAGAATCTTTATGAAGTATACTAGTCTTGCAGATAGTTCCATCTTTTGGATGTTTGGTCACGTGTCCTTGCTCCAAAGCTTGCAGTCACCACGTCTGCATTGGCAGAAGAATTTCCCTAAAGTAATTTTTCCATGAATCTTGGAAATTTTCATCATTCTGCGTGTTATTATGGGATCATCTGCCTATCTGATCGCTGCCTTGATACTAGTGGTGCCTCAGGCATTGATAGGATCTTGGTTCTCAGCCTTTCCTGTTCGTTGCTTGTGGCCCTCAATTTAGCTCTGAAATGCTTTTGTTCTACTGTGGTCTGTGGGCTTAATGTGAGCAGGTATCAATGAAACTGAAAACCAAAAATATACCTAAAATTAAACTTCCTGGACTTTTGGCCTGGCCTTAAATGAGAAATGACCTGCAATGTTCTGGATGAATTTGTTAGGGTAAATTCTCAGAAAAATATGTTAATGTATAATGTCTGTAAAATCTGAGTGACATGTTAACATCTAAAAATACCCAGCAGCTGTTTGATTTATTACTTAATTTCTTCAGTGCAGTTTACTTACTTGCTTGTTAGAAGTATGTGTAGGATGATGTGTGATAGGTTGTATAGTTCAGACTTGATGCAATGTGTATTTTTTGTAGTGTTTATAGTTGCAGGATGCAGACTGCAATGCATTAGCTGACACTAACACATTGCCATATTAGTATTTGTACTACATTTGCAGATATATAAATTATTATTTGCCCTCAGTCTAGTGCAGTGTGGGGCATGGCTTCTTGGCAGTTCCTAAGACTTCAGATGTGAGCCTGTAAAACACCTGTACACTCGAATGACGAAGCATATATACACAAGCATGTCCTACAGCAGGTATTGTCAAATGTCTCCTTTAAGTTCTCAATCTTTACTACAATGTTTTTTAAAAAGTGAAATTACGATTTTTGTATACCAAAATAAAATGTTTACTTCAATGCTGGATTGTTTATTCATCATCCCCTTTCCCCACTACCAAGGGAGTGTTGAATATAGATGACCTATACATCCCATCCCAGCCAAAAAAGGGTACACGAGCCTTCAATAACAAGTTCAGAGACACTGATTGTATCTGTGCCCACCTTGCCCAAATATGACTATCCTACATTGAAACAATAAACTGAGAAAAAAATGCCAAAACTATTTGATCAACTGGAGGGTCCTACTGTTGTTTTTTTCCGTATCAGATGCTTCCAAAACAAGCCCCTAAACCTCACAAATGGACCTTGAATCACTTCACCTTTTTATACACTGGTTTGTAACATTCAGACTCTGCAGCATGGCATCTCTCAACAACTGTCCTCCAGGACAGCTTAACTCATACTATGTCCACCTTGAATTCAGCTTTACAAGTGAGGCGATTTATGCAACAGCAGTTCAAGCAACCTATCAGACAGTGAGTCAAAAGATCAACAGATATGACCCAAAGATGCCACCAACCACCAGATTTTTCTTCCAGGTTGAACTCCATGCCTCCAAAATTGTCTTATTTTATTCATCATCCCAGGTCTCCAAGAACCCTGTATTCCCTAAACTTCCCTGCCCAAGCACTTGCTGTGCTTGATTTCAAGCAAAGAAACTGCACAAGCATCACTTAACCTGTGGATGATTCATCCAAACAGAACAGACATAACACAAAGGCAGGCAGTTAAATGAACTGTCTTTTATGAACCTATGTGTGATGTATATATATCATATGACATTTCATCTAAAGCTTTCCCAATGTGTCTCCAAGATCCTTCAATATCATTAAAGGCAGATTTCAAAATCTTTCATTTTAATCTATTAAAAGTGAATGCTAATACAATATTCTGATGTGTGATAATAACTACTCTTGACAACATTTCTTTTCATATTAAAGTGTAACTGCATGAGAAGTTTGGGTGGGAGCAAACTAAGAATATGACTGCATTGTAATATGAAAAGATATATAACTGCGAGCTGGTTTTAATACATATTCAGAATTGCATCATATTTTTATTTAAATTATTATTATAAATAAAACATAAAGGCAACACCATGGCATGGCCAGTTAGAATGTCCCTTAGAATAACCCTTTGTAAGACAAGTTACAATGTTCAGCAACCAATGTGCACAAAATACCCAAGTGCTGTTATTAAATGCAATTTACTCATGTAAGTTAGGAACATAATTACTTAAATACTGGCTGACTGTTACTGACGCAAGAGTTATGACAGAGTTCAGCAAATGTTCACAGTGGTAAGGCTGTTTTATCAGGCATGGATTTACCAGGGAATCCAAAGCTGGGTTTTGTCTCCCATTAACATGGCATCACATCAGATTCCCTTGATGTAGTCATGGCCAGGAAGTCTGTTTTCATCTTCCCACTTAGGTTGCAGCCAACTCTGCTAGCATTTATAATAATGATTATGAAGTAGCAAACTTTGCAAAAATGGTATTTTTTTATTCATTCTTTATGTGCTTCTTTAAACGAAAAATAAGACATTACAATCATGTTGCACAAACAGAACAAA